ACACACCAGGGTCGCTGGAAGGATAACAGTAACATGTTTGCTAAGCAACAAAGAATGCCGGGCAGCATGATACCAATAAATGGTCCGCACTGCATTGTCAAAAGCATGGCCGGAATACGTAATCAACGTTCCCTGTCGGATCGTCACAGCAGGGAAATATTCTGCAACCGCTAGTAGAATGGGACCACTATGTATGCCACGGTTTTCCATACTAGCAAACGTTTTTTTTTTTTGCTCACTGTTTCACCGAAACCGCCATCCCTCTACATTATGAATGATATTAAAACATTGCTTCCCAAAGTGGCTACTCAGGTCAACTTTTCTCAGAATCAAAAAAGAAACATCTCAATGTGATTGGTGAGGCAGAAGGAAACAAGTCAGCTCTTTCATTATCACGACGTTCTTATGCATAATCTAGTGTGACGTAACATTGGATCATGCGTAAGAACACCGTGAGAACGAAAGAGTTGTCTACATTCCTTCTGCCGCACCTATAGTTACGCACACGGTTCCCGCGCTGGCTGTTCCTTACTTTCTCACTCTAATCAAAATTTCCTTCGATGAGTGAGAAAACAGCACCTCGTCAACGCGAGCGAGAACGCGGGTTGCCAGATCATTGCACACAAAACCAACTTGAATGAATTTAAAACTTTAAAATCGTTAGTTTCGTATTGATTGTTGGTACTACCATAGAGGTAACTCTAAGACTAGTAGGTCCCGAAGAAACGTGCTCAACTTTTTGGCTCAGCTCTGGTACTATCTTCGGTCCCAAGCTAATTGATGCACCCCTCAAAACATAGGAAAATCCACTAACCCCTCATTTTATCTGTCAAACTTTCATAGCGTATCAAAACAAACATAGTGTAGTACTAGAATTACGACTAGAATGGGGTATGTTAATCGATTTGCTTGGGATCAATAGGCTAGTCAAGTAGTGAGCCGATTTAAAATCGTTAGTTTCCACCGGTTGGTACTACCGAGGTACATAGAAATTCAAATATTGAGACGTTAAATGATGTCAATTGTTATTCTCACATGCAGGTATAGAAAACCTGTTTAAAATACTGAATTTCCAAAGCAAAAACAATGTAAAAACACATAGATATGTTATATGAATGCTGGTAAGTTACTGTAGTAGCTGGAGCACCTAGGTTAAAATGAAATGCAATTTATTTCGAAATTGGAACAAATAATGAGTTTAACCGAATGATCAGGTTAGCGCCATTTTGATCTTGTACATATTACGCCAAATGAAAAAAAAAATCGCCTGCTTGGCTCAAATTTTACGACTGTCTGGTTGTCTGGTTGAACGGTTGTTTGACGAATGAATGAAAACGACCGGTAAAGTAAGGCCCTCTAGTAAAAGTATGGACGACTGTACCCAGAAAACTGAAAAAAACCCATTTCCAATTGAGAAGAGCAGCGCATTTAGACAGTTCTCGTGTCACTTTTCAAATAGACCAATGTAACATATCCACCATTTTGGAAAATCGAAGTTGAAGCTCGACAGATTATTATTTTAACTGTTTAAAAACAATACATTTTGCAATACTATTTTAAATGTAGTCAATGTATAATAACGTTGAAAATTCAGAAGAAACGATAAAATCACAATTTTACTTTGAAATTCATGCTACAACATAGAAAAAACCACAAAGGACGTTTTGACAAGTCGAGTTGTACATCAGACATGTTACATTGGACGATTTTTCTCAATGACATAATCAATGAGTGTTACATTGGACGTTTTGTCTACATGATACTAGATTCCCTTTCACAGATTTCAGAGTATAGTACCTAACTTTAGATTGGCCCCGCTTTTGGAAAATGAGCACCAATCATGTTAGGCAGTCCGAATGACCGAAGTAACAATCATGTACCCATCATTTCAAACTGTACTTTGGACAATTTTTGACCTATGATTATCTTAAATAAATGAAAGTAAATTTGGATGGATGTTTTTGGATCACATACAATGATAGAAGAGCAATAGTTTGTATCGCTTAACTCGATTTGTTTACATTGACCTTTTGAAAAGTGACGCGAGAGTTCGATTGACCCAACTTTTGGCAGACGGCCATACTTTTACTAGAGGGCTTAACTGTCAGCACGTTTGCAAATTTTCATTCTGTCAGCACAACCCGGCAGTGTTTCACAGTCATTGCTGCTTCCAGTAATAAAATATCAATGTGCTTGTCATACAAGTACGAACGTAAATATAGTATATGCTTAGACAGCTCTTAATTAAGTGAAAGCACAAACGAAGTGACAGACGGAGCGGCTCGAAAACTTTGGTAACTAACCTGCTATGTATTTCAATTTTTCAGTGTACCACATGACAACACCACTACTACTGGATTGTACCACATGGCAACACTACTACTGGATTGTACTAGCATTTTCACCAAATGTATTAGAATGTTTTTCTCTTTCACTCTACTCAAAACTGAAATGCATAAAAAAATGGAAAAATGATATGCACTCTTTGCACACTGTCGAAGAATCATTGTACACAAAATCAACTTTGCGCAAAACCAAAAAAAAATACTATCCCATCTGGTGGATGATGGCACATGCTTCTAAGAAAATTCTATTACAGCGAACCACATTATTTTAATTGATTTATTCGCCAGTTAGTCGTCTGTCACTTCGTTTGTGGTGAAAGTGCTTCAAGAACATTAGTTTGGTATATTTTATTCCGAAAATCCTGAATTAATACTAATTTCTAATTAGGGCAAAATAGTATAAAACGTATCAGCGGGGTAATATGAACAACAATTTTTCAGAAACTTTTTCATTCATAATTTAATGATTTATCATCCACAACTGCTAGGTGGGCTGCTGGGTGAAATTTTCATATGCATACATTTGCCCATAATCGCAAGTCAGTCCCATCTGTAAAATCATGGAAATGAGAAAACAGCGTTTAAAGATTTTACAAGTGTTTTGATTCGACACTTATGTTAGAGAGTAAATTTAAAAATAAACGTACAATGTGATAGAATGCATCTATGTTTACCATTAAATATTGGATAAAATTTCGTGAAATTTTTATTCTATGGACAAAATCTCAGTGGGACTGACTTGCGATTACATTTAACGTCAATGAGAAAAATAACCGCAAGTCAGTCACAATTCCATGACGATGCTGCATTAGTTAAGCACAGCATTGTATGTTTCTGGATTTGTTCCGTTGGTTCCAAAGCAATGGCCGGAACATATTTCGGTGAGCATGGGTCTTCATCAGACCAGAGCCAAACGTGCCAAACCCACCATGCGATAAATCAATTCACATGAGAATTCAAAAATAAGATCAATAAGAGTCATGATAAGTGACCAGTACCATATTGGCCACACCCGGACATGTTCCGGGTATTCCCGGGGAAGTGGTAAATCCTTTTTAAATCAAAATCTATCAAGCGATACTTCAAATCACATGAGAATTCAAAGCCATATCCATTGGCGGTAAAACTGAATATCGTAAGAACTATATTGGCCTCATCCGGACATGTTCTAGATACCCTAGGGAACGTGTACAAAATCCTTCTTGAGACAAATCTTATGATGCGATGTGTTGTCTTACAATTTTAAATCTATAGAAGCAATCCTAAAAACATATCTGTGACGTTGTTTTATAGTTTATTGAATGAAATCCTTTTTTTTTCTTCTAATGGGACTGACTTGCGGTTACTTTTTGCTGTGGGATAATTTGGCTTGGTGTTGTTTTTCATTTTTCTAGAACAAACCACATTTTTTTCAATAGCACATCTCAAAAAACAAAGAAAGATAAACTAAATAGTGATGCTAACTTAAAATTGATAAAAAATGTAGATGGGACTGACTTGCGATTACTGGCAGATTACTGCTTTAAAAAAGTTAGATGATTATATTAATCCGCAGGCGCGTAGCACATCCATTTCCCCTACGTTGAAAGTAGGCTTGAAGTTCCAGCTAAGACGTAATAGACAATGAAGAAGTAAAAGAGAGTTCGCTGCAGAGTAGCGAAATGTGTATAAAATTAGCGATTTATATGATATGTGCACCCCTGAAACACCTCATTGCAAAAAAAATTAAGATAACTGGTCTCAATAATTTTGTAGATTAAGGATGGTTAAGAGACTAACCATTAAGCAGCAACTTATTGAATTCTTTAGGAAAGGTATGTCGGTAAAAGATGACTATTTTGATTACTGAAATAGTGAACAGTCTATGCAAATATTTAAAGCACACTATTATTATTTTGAGGTAATAGATTATTTATATAGACAGGAATATAGTAGTATTCTTGACATGCACCAATGAAACAATGAAAGCGTTCATTGTGCTGCCCAAAAAATCCCAAACAATGTAATTTTAACGTATGGGAAACGAGTTAAACCAGTATTGACGATTAAGACAAGATCTGTCAAATGATATTCGCAAAAACGGGCATGCGTTCATGAGATGGTGTCTAAAAGAACGGGAAACGAGGGACAATAAAAATTAAAACCGCAAATTAAAACAGCAAGATTTTAATAGCGTTGGCCATTTTAACTACACCATCGTGACCTCAAACTTCTAACGTAGGTAATTAATCTGCTGGCAAAAAAAAGAACTTACCACATTGCGACACTCGACACTAAAATTATACGCTTCAAACAGGTATTTGAAAGTAAGGTGTTTAGTTTCAAATGGTTGGTTCGAATTTGAATACTGCACAATTCACTAACCAGCCCTAATTAACGTAACTCAAATGTCTTCACCGTAAAACGAGGAAATATTGACTTCAACGCCGTTAAGTCTTAACTTTTCTAGGAACATTTTAACTGATATATTTATCTGCTTGTGAAGCATTGCATCATACTAGCATTCTATCGGCAGGTTAAGACCATATGTTGGTCCATCTCGCAATTATTGCTTTACATTCACTAAAATTCAAATCACCAATCACCAATATCTAATTAAAAATAGAATACGATTTGGGCATCAATCTGTTTTACATGAAGTTTTGCACAACTTACCTTTCTTTCCCACCGACACGTTGTACTGAATGTTCTCGAACGTGATATCCATCATTTTTGCTATGGTAGTGTTGATACTGCTCAAATCTACACTTTCAAGAATACCCCCGGAGCGTGCTTAACAGCACGGTACTTTTTATTGGCAAATTTACCCAGCACAACAGGTGAAACACGGCGGAAATTCCTAGCACATCACGATACACTTCCTGTAATGCATCAGTGCGGAACTATGTATCACTACTTCGGCCGGAGGCACCAATTTAAATCACTTTCCACAATCCTTTGATTGCCGTCAGTTAGGTTTGCATGATTCTTCTCCTCAGAGTCGTACGGTGGCGAATATCGACGTTACGCCTTCCCGGGTGTATTTATTACTACTGCTGATTATGGGAACTAATCAGTTACTAACTATCAATCGTGGTGGATCGTGATCTTCGCTGCCTACTGCAGATTATTGTTGGCCTTCGATCTAAAACAGATTAGAGTTCCATCAAGGCACGCGTGCTTGTCCGTTGATGCAGACTGAAACGATAATTGAAGGAAAAATATAGTTTTTTGTATGAGTACTTCTTATTACAGTCATTAAAGAGCAGTTTGTTTTAAAGTACATCGTGATTTTAACGGCTTCCCTACGCTCCCTAATGACATTGAAAAAAAATTATATAAACGGTGTTTCTAAAAGAAAACCTTATTAAAAAAAAATATCAGTATCGTTGAAACACCCACCAAACAAAAGCTTAGCCTCACCCATGTCACATGTCACAAGAAATGTTATATCGGAGGGCTTAAAACAATTTATAATTTATTTTTCGTATTAGTTTTAAACCAATTTAAAACACAAATAATGAATGGAAAAATGACTTCCGATAAAATATTTTAAAACAAGTCTCAAATGAATGAGGTAAATTACACTAGTTTACAAAACAACATAAAAAGTGTGAACTTTAGTGGTTGACCAACGTTTCTAATGCAGAATCTTACGCTGAATTCAATGCCGTGGTCAGAAAAAATAAAGTAGAGCCATTTTTGAGATACACAAAAATTTTGATTTTTTGAATTTTGAATAAAAGTACGATTACTAAAATGTTAATATCTTTGGAAATCTTTTTTTATGAAAGTGAAGCTAAATAAATTTGCTATCATTCACTTGAATATTATGTCTTAATTAAAAATTTAATTTTGAAGTCATTTAAAAATTTACAGCATTTTTTTTAATTTTTCCTGCGAATTTTCCATAAAAATCTTGTTTTAACCACATATTTAATGGGATAAAAGATTAAAAAATCATTCTATAATTTATTCTTAAAGTCCATTAAAAACTGAACAAAAAGAACCTTTAATGGATGAAATCGGTTGGAAATTGTCGAAGTTATGAAATTTTTTGTAAAATCATGGAAATTGAATGTTCTAAGATTGGCCGTTGTCCCGCTCCTAGGTTCATGCACCACTTCCAGTAAGCCTTTCTGCGGACGTGTACGCATACGGTGCATTTCACTAACACTACCAGCTATCACGCAAAATTAAATGGGATATTTTCAACAATATAATTTACGCTAGTGTTTGTGAGACCGCTCTTCGAGAACCTAACGCAACCAACTCAATTTGACAGCTTTCTTTCTTTAACGATGTATACGACAAAACGTGAATTCAAGTGTAAAAATGATCCTCAAAAGTTTTGTTACGCGTGTGGCAACTATATATTTACAAAATAGGTCAATTTCACTGCTTCGTTGCAAACTGCATACAGGCTTTGGAAACTTTGACGAACCGTGGATTCCAAAAGTATTATGTAATTCGTGCAAAACGTGCTTGGCTAGGTGGATGTCAGGTGCAAGGTAAATTGATTTTTTGAATAACTTTCATATAAACAATTTATGTACAGCATGGTAGTGCTTTGTTCTTTCCTGATCGACATTATCTTACTTCATCTATTTTTGATAAGTGTTAATGTCTTACTTACTAACTCACTTATTTGTTATATGTCAGTCGCTATTTGTCCTTTGACATGCCCACCATATGGCGTCGACCGTTTTGTCATGCAACGGATTGTTATTTCTGCTTGACAAAAGTTAAGCAACAAGGACGTCACAAAACAGTTGAGTATCCACAAGTGGCTTCTATGACAAAACCTGTTCCACATTCAAGTTCGGTCCCGTATCCTGTTTATCCAAAGCGGAAATGAGCGCCCTCTGTTGAATCGACCGTTACAAAAAGTGAGGAGGAATTCAAGGAGGAATGCGAGGAAGACTTCGAGGTGGAATTGGAAAGAAACCCAAAACTGTTTACACAATCCGACTTTAATGATTTGGTGCGAGATCTCGACTTATCGAAGGAGAAATCCGAATTGCTGGCATCACGCTTGAAAGAACACAACATGCTGAGCAAGGAGGTCAAAATTTCTTGTCACAGGAATCGTCACAAGAAATTTGACAAATATTATTCTACAAAGGACAAGGCATGTTTTTGCCATGACGTAAACGGCTTGTTTGAAGAGTTTGGTGAGCCATACGATCCAGCTGAATGGCGTTTATTCATCGATAGCAGCAAGTTGAGCTTGAAAGCCGTTTTACTGCATCAAGGGAATGAGAAACCTTCTATTCCATTAGCTCATGCCATTAATATGAAGGAAACGTATGAATCAATGGCTCTATTGCTCAATTTGATAAATTACAATCAACACAATTGGAAAATTTGTTCCGATCTTAAAGTGGTTGGTTGCCATGTTGACTGGATTGCAACAGGGATACACAAAATATATGTGTTTTTTGTGTAAATGGGACAGTCGAGCTCGTAAGGAACACTACGTCCTAAAAGATTGGCCAAAACGGGATAATTTCACACTTGGTAAAGACAACGTTAAAAATGATCCTCTTGTGGTAAAAGAACGCATAATACTTCCACCACTACATATAAAACTTGGGCTATTCAAAAATTTCGTCAAAGCGTTGCAAAAAGAAGGGCCGGCATTCCAGTACTTGAAATCAGTATTTCCAAATTTATCTGACGCAAAGATAAAGGAAGGTGTATTTGTTAGCCCACAGATCAAAAAACTGCTCAATGATTCCGCATTCAATACAGTTTTGACACCAGATGAGGAAGAAGCGTGGAAATCGTTCCAGCGTGTTGTCACAACCTTTTTAGGAAATTTCAGAAGCCCAGATTATGAGGAAGCCGTCGATGAATTGCTCAAAAATTATGAGAAAATAGGTATAAATCAAAAATATTGTGTTTGTTACATATAATTAATTTCAAATCCTTTTATTACACTGAACACAGGTGTGAATATGTCTTTGAAGATACATTTCCTACATTCTCACATGGATTTTTTCCCGGAAAATCTTGGTGACGAGAGTGATAAGCACGGCGAACGTTTTCACCAACAAATGAAGATGATGGAACGTCGTTACCAAGGGTTTTGGGATGAAGCAATGATGGGTGACTATTGTTGGTTTCTGATTAGAGAAACAAGTTCAAAACATCGAAGACAAAGTCATTCGATTCTCAATCATTTTTAATAAAACCTAAATAAATTTCTTTTGTATCAACTCGGTTTTAAATCCTGATATGCCTTAATCAAATTGATATGTAGAGAAAAGAATCTCCCATGAAAACTTTACATGCGATTTGGATGCTTACAACGACACCTAGAAAAGGAACTCTAAAGCTGGTGTATTTCAGCAACATTTTTATAACTTCGACAATTTCCAACCGATTTCATCCATTAAAGGTTCTTTTTGTCCAGTTTTTAATGGACTTTAAGAATAAATTATAGAATGATTTTTTAATCTTTTTATCCCATTAAAAATGTTGATTAAAACAAGATTTTTATGGAAAATTCGCAGGAAAAATAAAAAAAATGCTGTAAATTTTTAAATGACTTCAAAATTAAATTTTTAATTAAGACATAATATTCTAGTGAACGATAGCAAATTTATTTAGCTTCATTTTCATAACAAAGATTTAAAATTGGTGCACTAGTTCCAAAGATATTGACATTTTAGTAATCGTACTTTTGTCCAAAATTCAAAAAATCAAAATTTTTGTGTATCTCAAAAATGGCTCTACTTTATTTTTTTCTGACCACGGCATTAAATTCAGCGTAGGATTTTGCATTGGAAACGATCATCACCTTACCGAGTTCAAAAATGCTGTAAACTAGTGTTATTGGTCCAGTACTAGTCCAAGATATTTCACTTGATTTGCTTAGCTAAACATAGCTTCTCCGTGATTGATCCGAACCAGTGAAATTGCATAATGAATCAACTGAATCGCTGACTGACTGGGAATGGTCGATCATTCTCTCTGTACAATTATAATGAATTTTCAGTAAAGATCAATAACGGCGCTAGCCACGTCCTTCCAATCAGGTAGGAATGGGAAGGGAATGCGTGATCAGAGACCACAAATATCCGTGATATTTTGTTAGAAGGTTAAGTTTGTATGATCAGGATTCCCCTTGATAAGCGATGTGATTCAAGTTTTGATACAGTGTGTTGTCATGCTTCTGAAAAATAAAATAAATATAAAAAATCAGTGTGATCATGCATTAAAGTATTCCTGAATCAATGCTGAAAAAAGTGGATTATTAACCCATTAACGCCCAGTGGTCTATTTATAGATCAGTTACATTTTTTATTACTATCAATAAACTTGAGCAGCGGCGCTGGTGGTGTAGTGGTAAGCGCGATTGCTTCTCATCCCAGTAGGCCTGGGTTCAATTCCAGTCAGCGCCGCCGGGATGTTCTGAGGCATAACATTTCTAATCACGCCTGCGGAAGGTTTATGGGTGAATATTAGGAAAACTGCGAGAGCTTAAGGAAAGTTCCATGAATTTTAGGGAAGTCTAGAGAACTCTTATTTATTAAAAAGTTTAAAGAACTTTGAGGAGTAACGATATCTTTAGAGAACCCCGAATATCGGGAAAGTTCAAAGATCTTCAAGAGAATATTCAGACAACTTCGTACATTTCAGGAAAATGTTGAAAACTTTAGTAGTTTTGGGAGAAAATCAGAGTAGTTCTGAAGAGAACTTCAGAGAAGTTCTGAGGAAAAGTTCAGAGTAGTTCTGAAGAGAATTTCAGGGAATTTCTGAGAACTCCAGAGTAGTTCGATTGGCCTCAGGAAAATTTCGGAAAATTTATTAAACTCCCCGGGAGCAGCCGGAACATGCCTGGCCAGCATGGTCCTCAGTACTTACTATGGCCACCATTGTTCTTATTTTTGAATTTTCATGTAGTTTGATGTGTCACTAGCAGTGATGTCGAAAAATCGCCTCTAGCGATCAATGAATACGCACACACCTGCTACAAGATTTTTTGGCATCATCATAAGCTAACGATGAACTCTGACTCTTAACACTAATATGCAGAGAGCATTTCGAACAGTGAGTTACCAAGATCTCAAGAGAGCAAGACGATAACAACAACATTGCTGTGTGCACTCACGATACATTACTTATACTACGCAAGGCTTGTTGTGAGTGCACGCTACAAACTATAACTCGATATATTCTATAACCATTTT